AGGGACTCCATCCAGGTCTTCCACACGGGTGACAGAGGGCCAAGCACTTGGGCAGTCTTCTTCTGCCTTCCTGGGTACATTAGCAGGAAGCTGGATCAGAGGCAGAGGAGCTGGCACTGAAACCATGCTCTAATATGGAACGCTGGTGTCCGGGCAGTGGCTCACCCGACACCATGACACCGGTCCCTGGGCAATGATTCCCTATAGTCATCAGAATAGTCCAAATCTTTTAACTTGCTTCTAAAGTCTTTTTTTTTTTCCTTAGGATGTATTTATTTATTTGAAAGTCAGAGTTACACAGAGAGAGAAGAGGCAGAGAGAGAGAGAGAGAGAAAGAGGGAGAGAGAGGTCTTCCATCCACTGGTTCACTCCCCAATTGGCTGCAACGGCTGGAGCTGCACCAATCCGAAGCCAGGAGCCAGGAGCTTCCTTGGGGTCTCCCACATGGGTGCAGGGGTCCAAGGACTTGGGCCAGCTTCCACTGCTTTCCCAGGTCATGGCAGAGAGCTGGATCAGAAGTGAAGCAGCCGGGACTTGAACCAGCGCTCATATGGGATGCCAGCACTGTAGGCGATGGCTTTACCTGCTACACCACAGTGCCGGCTCCAACTTCTGAAGTCTTTTTAAACATTTTTAAAATAATGGCTTTATTAAGATATAATTCATATACCATAAAACTTTTTCCTTTTTTTCCCCTAAAAGGGTTATTATTTATCTTGAAAGTCAAAGCAACAGAGAGAGAGAGAGAGAGAGAGAGAGAGATCTTCCATCAGCTGGTTCACTCCCCAGATGGCAGCAATGGCCATGGCTGGGTGAAGCTGAAACCAGGAGCTTTAGCCTGATCTCCCACATTGGTGATAGGGGTCCAAACACGGGCCGCCTTCTGCTTCTTTTCCCAGGCCATTAGCAGGAAGCTGGATCAGAAGTGGGGCAGCTGGGACAGGAACTGGGTCCCATGTAGGATGCTGGCATTGCAGGTGGCTGTTTTGTCCACTAAACCACACACTAGCCCCCAGACTCATTCTTCATAAAGTATATGATGCAGTGGTTTCATATGGTAGCAGAGGTGTACAGCCACCACCATAACCAATCCACAATATTCGCATCACCCCAAGAAGCCCCAGACCTATCAGCAGTCACTCCTCATTGTCACCTTCCTCAGCCCGTGGCCACAAATCCACTCAGGTCCCATGGATCTGTGCATTCTAGACATTTCATGGAAGCGGATCATGCAATGTGTGGCGACCACACACTCACTGGGTAAGATTGGTTTCCTGGGGCCGGCACTGCGGCGTAGTAGGTTAATCCTCCACCTGCAGCACCGGCATCCCATATGGGTGCCAGTTCTAGTCCCAGCTGCTCTTCTTCTGATCCACAGTAGAAGATGGCCTGAGTCCTTGGACCCCTGCACCCATGTGGGAGACCTGGAAGAAGCTCCTGGCTCCCAGCTTTGGATTGCTCCAGCCGTTGCGGCCATTTGGGGAGTAAACCAACAGACAGAAGACCGACCTTTCTCTCTGTCTCTCCCTCTTACTGACTGTAACTCTACCTTTCAAACAAATAAATAAAATCTTTAAAAAAAGAAATCGGTTTCCTCCATGGCTCACGTGTGCTTTAGCATGTATCCCTGTTTCATCCGTTTTTATTGTTGAATCAAAGTGCATGCAGTGATGCGCCACTCCCACTCCCATGACTGTGACGCTGCCATGAACATCTGTGCACAACATAAGCATCTGTGTGGGCGCGGTTTTCATTTCCTCAGGAGGCGCTCAGGGGATGAAACGCTTGATCACGGGTAACTCTGCCTGCCACAGTGGGGACCCACTGAACAGCCTTCCAGAGCTGCTGCACGGTGTCACAGCCCACCAGCAACACAGGAGCCACTTCCACATCCACGCCAACACCTCCTCCCTTTTTGTTAATCGCTGTCATCCTGATAGGTGTGAAGTAGTATTTCACTGTGTTTATTTATTTATCTATTTGAGAGGCAGAGCTACAGATAGAGGGAGACAGAAAGGTCGTCCGTCCAATGGTTCACTCTCTAAATAGCCAAAACAGCTGGAGCTGCACCGATCCAAAGCCAGGAGCCAGGAGCTTCTTCTGGGTCTCCCACATAGGTGCAGGGGTCCAAGGACTTGGGCCATCTTCTACTGCTTTCCCAGGCCATAGCAGAGAGCTGGATCGGAAGAGGAGCAGCCTGGACCAGAACCCGCACCCATTTGGGACAGCAAGGCACAGCAAGGCAGAGGCTTAGCCCACTACACCACAATGGGGGGGGGGGGCTCCTTGTGGTTTTGATTTGCATTTCCCAAAGAGCCAATGATGATGCAAGCACAATGTCTTGGTGTGTTGATTGATTATGGTTTTAATCCTTACGTTTAGACCTATACTGCATTTTGTGTTACTTATTTTGTGTGCAGTGAGGTAGGGATCCAACTCCATTCTACTGCACGTGGATTTCCAGCTATTTCAACACCAGTTGTGACATTGGCTGGGCTTTCAGTGGGCTTATGGGAGGACAAAAATGGCTTCAACTAGTGATTTCAAGCTGCGCTGCTACACAGAGCACAAGGCAAGTTTGGGCATGCGTTTCTGGAGTTAGAGTTTAGGCCAGACAAAAAGCTTAGATGTGACAACAGCCATTACCAAAATGATGTCATGATGAGAAAACGCTCTTGGGTACAATGGAAGAACTGAAGAGAATCACTGATGACGGTGAAATTATAAAAGATAGCAACGCTTCGCAGCCTCCCTGGCAGGCTTGGCCACTGGGAGAGTGACCTTGTAAGTGGAGATGAACACACTTCTCTTACCACATCAGAAGAGGTTCTCTTAGTCACAGACATTTCTCAAAGGATCTGAAGGCCTTGGAGTACCTCACTATTTGGTACAGGATCTGAAATATTCAGTTGCCAGCCTCACTGGATTATACTTCAAGACTGAACCTATTAAAAGCATGTATTTTGAAGCTATGTACTTAATTGAGGGAAAATTATCTGTAATTTACAATATTGGGATTTAAAAAAATTTTGTTTACTTGAAAGGCAGAGGTACAGAGTGGCAGAGGCAGAGACAGCAAGATCTTCCATCCGCTGGTTCACTCCCCAAGTGGTCACAATGGCTAGATAGAGCTGGACCGATCTGAAGCCAGAAGCCTGGAGCCTGGAGCTTCTTCTGGGTCTCCCACATGGGTACAGGGACCCAAGCACTTGGGCCATCTTCTACTGCTTTCCCAGGCACATTAGCGGGGAGCTGGATCAGACGTAGAGCTGCTGGGACTTGAACCAGAGCCCATATGGGATGTGGATGTCAGGAAAATGGCCACAGTCTTATCTATGGCGCGATCTACACCCCGATTTACATCCTAGGCTCCAGCCCCCACCGACATTGCTGGAAACCAGGTGGCCACATGGCCCAACCACTGTGTGTCAAGCTCCACCCCCATCCTAATGGGATTCTCTGCTCCTGCTTCCCTGCCCGCCCGCCCTCCGGCAAAGTTTCGAAAGGACTTGTTCTTGAACATGTGGCTCTCTAGCCTCCTCTTCTCCTCTCTCACTCTCCTTTCCCCTCTTCACCCCTTCCCTCCAGCCTGCTGGGTTTTCCCCAATAAACCCTTTCCCTTACTCCAGTGTTTGGTGTGTTTTGTGACGGCTTATGAGAATGAAACTAAGTTTTTTGCATGTAAATTGAAAATAAGAAAATACACGAGGAGCCAGTGTGATGGTGCAGTAGGTAAAGCTGCCGCCTGTGACTCCAACGTCCCGTATGAGTGCCAGATCGAGTCCCGGCTGCTCCACTTCTGATCCAGCTCCCTGCTAATGCGCCTGGGGAAGGAGACCCAGACAGACAGAACTCTGGGTTCTGGCCATTGTGGCCACTTGGAGAGTGAACCAGTGGATGGAAAACTGATCTCTCTCTCCCCCTCTCCTTCTGTCCCTCTGCCTTTCAAATAAATAAATAAATCTTCCAAAAAAGAAAAGGAAATACATGAACAAGCTTAATAGTTAGTCTCACTTGAGTCCAAGTGAATTAGCTGGATAGTCCCACAAACATTCAGTCTGTAATAAAAACCATCTGTTGCTGAAATTCTGCTCCAATAAAGCACATTAAACCTGGAAAATTAAAAAAAAAAAGACTATTCTTTCCCCTTTGAATGATCTATGGCCCATTTTTCTTTTTTAAGATTATATAATTAGGTATTTGATCCCATATGTGCTACCCACATTGCAAGCTGCAGCCATTTGGGGAGAGAACCAGCAAATGGAAGATCTGTGTGTGTGTGTGTCTTCCTCTCACTGTCACTACCTTTCAAATACATCTTTATTAAAAAAAAAAAAGAGGAAGAAGATGGAGGAGGAAGAGGAGGAGGTGGTGGAGGAGGAGAAGCAGGAGGACTAGATGATTGGCCCTCTGGGTTTTACCTTCTTTTTTTCATTTACAAATGGGAAAGAGTTTCTGTATTGTTGTGGATACAGGAGCCAGTGGGGGAGCTAAGGAGTGAATTCCTGACAGTGAATGGAGCTTCAGTTACAAACTATTTATGCTCAGGTTTGCTGGTGAGGGAAGGAGAGAATTAGCCAACACTAGGAAATAGCTTAAAAGTGCGGGCCTGAAGTCATTTTCTTGCTATGAGGCCACCTGTTTTCCTGAACTTGAGACAGACTCCTAAAGACTCGCCCTTTCTCAGCTTCTGTGGGTCTCAATGTCATGGATGCCCCACGATTCCTCCACTCACCCTCCTATAACCCACATTACACTCCACCCCACCTCTGCCTACGTTGGAGCGCACGCACACACACTCACACACCACGCACTCCATATTTTGGGCTGATTCAGCATCCCAGGAATCTAAAGGTCCTAGGAGTCACCAAGTCCTTCCTTGTTTGGGTAGAAAGCGAAGGCACAAGTCTCCCGATATCCTGGTGGCCGGAGAATCTACTTTCTCTCTGCCTGCCCCCGATGCCCTTGGGTCTCCCCTGTGCCACTCACATAGGCCAGAATGATGGACCCAAGGTTTTAATTGCTCATAGGCTTACTGATCTGTCATCGCCTTGTCAGCGTATTTACATTTGGGGCTTCTCCTCCCAGAGGTAGATATGCCTGATCATGAGACCCCCCTTCTGGCTGCTTTTTGCCACCAGCCTCACACAGCTCACGTGGTACCCCATACTTTTCATAAATATCTTCTGGTCCATCTGCCCCTCCAGGAGGTGGCCCAGCAGGATGAAGGTGGTGCAGTGCTGAGGCGTCCCCTGGGGGCTGTAACCCAGCTCCACCTGCCCCTTCTCCAGGGCGTTCGCTCCGTCCACGATGGAGCCCGTCAGCACCTGCACCCTGCTCAGGTTCATGGGATGGTTCAAAATCACGGTCAGGTGGTTCTCGATGCTAACGTTGTAGGTCCAGAAGAAGGACTCGTCCAGAGTGTAGGCCTCCCAGGGGAAGTGGACGCTGAACACGTTCATGTTCGTGTAGACGGACGCGGGTGGGTTGTCAGGGCTGCCAGGGCTCTGCCTGTGACCTGGTCTGTCCTTGTCCTCAGAGATGGGGTAGGACATCCTGTGGTAGAAGAGGAACGGCTGGCAGAGGATCGGGCTCTCCTGGGTGAGGAGGGTGCGGAAGTGGGCGATCATCCTGGCCAGGGGCTTCTCCTTGTGGAAGAGCAGGAGGAAGTGGGCCACGAGCGGGAGGTCCCTGCTGTGGAAGAGCTTCCCCAGGAAGCCCATGTTGGAAAACTCCAGCAGCGCCCAGGGATGCCCCTTCATGGCGGCCACCTTGGACCGAATGTGGGTGATGAAGTTGGGCGCGCAGAAGATGTTGTCCTCCAGCAACAGGAAGTAATCTGAGAGGTTCCTGGCGAAGCTCATGAGGAAGGCGTGGTCTATGTTCTGCTTGGAGTACACTTTCCCGCCGTGGGCCTGGTCCTGCTCGTCCACTGCGGGGTAGGTGTCGGCCGGGGCGTGGATCACCAGCAGCTGCCCTGCCAAGATCTGCGGGCTGAAGAGTCTGGAGAGGTGGGCCATGGTTTCGCTGAGCCAGGCGAGGTCGGAGTCGGCCAGGTGCACCAGCACTGTGAGGCGTTTGCGCTCGGCTTTGGAGGACGATCGGAACAGGGAGAAGAGCGTGTACAGGAGGCCCTTCTGGTCCTGCTGCGACGCTGCGGTCAGCCCCACCGTCAGCCATGCTAGGGGGCGGGAAAGGGAGACGGCTGTCAGTGCTCCCTGGTGGTGCGGGCTATGAAGGGCAGTGGAGGGCGGGATGCGGTGTGGGACCCTCTCTGTACCCCTCTCCTGTCTCTCCCCTACCCCCACCCCCACTCTGTTCTTTCCTTAGGCAGAGAGGATGTGTGCATCCTAGCTACCTCTAGTGTGGTCCTTAGCAAGGTCAAGGTCAGCCTTACCTACAAGCTGCTGAGAAATGCAGACTCCGCCCCTCCCTGGAATTTAATTGCTCAGAATCTGCATTTGAACAGCAGCGGGGTGTTCAAGTGCGCTGCACAGGAGGGTGTGGGCCCTCTGAGTCTTGGAGCTGTGAACTTTCAAGGGCACACGCTCTAAGTGCCCAGGAACTGTAGCTATTACTATGGTTGTTGCAATTCTTTCTGTTTTTCTCCAGCTCTTCTTCCCCCAGCTCTCCTGTGAAGAACGTGTATTTGGAAAGGGACTGCTCTTGGGAGTCAGGAGCCTGAGGTTCTGGTCCCAGCTTAGCCACTTAGTGATCGTGAGCAAGCCTTTCACCCCAGAGTTTACAAACCCGAGGGAGCTGGCCTGTGTGATCCTGAGACTCCGTCTAAGACAATGTTTTCTCTCTCTATTTTTAAGATTTATTTAAGAAATAAAGAAATTTATCTAAGAAAGGTAAAACAGGGGCCGGCACTATGGTGTAGTGGGTAAAGCCGCTGCCTGCAGTGCCGGCATCCCATATGGGCACCAGGTCGAGTCCCGGCTGCTCCACTTCCGATCCAGCTCTTTGCCATGGCCTGGGAAAGTAGTGGAAGATGGCCCAAGTCCTTGGGCCCCTGCACCCACATGGAAGAAGCTCCTGGCTTCAGAGTGGCACAGCTAATTGAGGAGTGAACCAACGGATGGAAGACCTCTCTCTCTCTCTGCCTCTCCTTCTCTCTGTATAACTCTGACTTTGAAATAAATAAATAAAATAAATATATCTATAAAAAAAAGAAAGGTAAAACAGACAGAGAGTGAGAGAGATTCTACCCACTGGTTCACTGGTTCCTTCTCCAGCTCCAACTACCGGGGCTGGGCCAGGCCGGAACCTGGAGCCAGGAACTCCATCCAGGTCCCAGGTGGGTGCAGGGGCCCAAGCAGCCATCCTTTGCTGTTTTCCCAGGCACATTAGCAGGGAGCATCACGGGAAGTGGAGCTGCCAGGACTTGAACCTGCACCCACAGGGGATGAAGGCTGTGCCCCAGGCAATGTTTTCTAGTCAGAAGTCCCATCTTCTCTAACAGCTTCACTGCAGCTTTCCCCTCTACCCCGCCCCACCCCCGGCCCAGGCTGCACTTACTTACGGAACTCGCCCTCCGCCCCCTCCCGCCCGCGGGGCTCACTCTTTCGTCTGCGCTGCATCTTCTCTGTGTATTTCAGGGAGATCGTCTCCCAGTCCTCCAGCGGTTTCTGGCTCTTGCTGCTGCCATAACCACCTCCCTGGGATACGGACAAGGAAAACATGTCTCCTTTCCTAACAGGAGCGGGTCTTGTCCCCCGGTGGCTTCCCGATGCTTTTCTAGGGAACTAGGGGCGGAGCGGGGCCCTGGGTCTGCAGTGAGCCCTGCTGCTCTCAGGATGCCTGGCCATTGTCCCGAGGGTGCAGGCCCGAGCAGGGGAGCAGGGCCGGCTCTTCCCCTTGCCTTAACAAAAACGAGCAATAAAAGCAGCTCCGTTGTGGACTAATGGGTTCCCTTTGGAGCTTCCTGCTCTCAGATGGGAAGGTTCCAGAAGGAAGGAAGCCCAGGTGCTGGTCCTCACAAGCCCCCTCCCCACCCCCGCACAACCCCAATTCCCAAACAAGAGTAAGGGCTGCTACTTGGCCTTCGACAAGCATGGCTATTTGGTCATCTTCAATTTCCCTGGGGAATTCCACAGTGATGCAGAGCCACAGGAATGTGATGCCTGCCCAGGTTATGATGCAGTGCTTGATGGGATGCCGCATCAGGGCGCCTCGGGGTATGGTTCCTAGAGCAAGAAGGCCCCATAAGCTGAGGGAGGACTCCACTCTGGCAGTTTCCCTCTGTCCTCTGCCCACCCATCCCAGCCATCCACCCGCCTCGTCATCACTACCACTGTTTTCCGCCACGCCCTTTAATTAGATCTAGCAAACTGGGAATTCAGCTCACTACCTTAGACAATCAACCACCTCCAGGTCCCCCTACTCAAAGTGATGGAGGCCAGCTGGGCGCTTTAGTGACGTGGCCAGTTTATCTGAGAAAACAGGTGGTCATTGCGCCCCTCGCCCCTTTTCTAAACAAAAGTCAAACTGTTTATTAGAGCAGGTGAACTTGAGTGCTGTCCCAATCTGGTGCCTTTCTGTTTAAAATAAAACATACCCTTTATTTCAACTGTCAATCTTTCTGCACAGAGCTTAATGGGAAATGATGCTGCTAACTGGGAGCAGAAAGGAACCCTTGGGTGAGTGTGGGTTCCTGGAACTCAGGCTGTCTCCCTCTGTTGGTGCGCCTTCCAGTGAGAACCTGTTTCTCTGTTGCTGCTGGGTTAGCACGGGAGAGGCTTTAGTCTGGTGGCCACCTCCTGCAAGTTCAGTACACAAAACAAAGCAAAGGGCAGTCAGTGCTTTCCGGGCTCCTGGGGCCATGCTCTCCGGTAATCCTGTAATCCCCCTCCCTCCCCCACCCTGTGCTCAGGGGAGGTGCCCCGTTTAGTACTTTAGTAGAGATTAATGTATATCTCCTGCTTTGCCAGTTAGCTTTATGAGAAGAATGAAGAAAGTACTACTTGGGGTTTACACTGTTGTATAGTGGATAAAGCTACCACTGCATCCCATACGGGTGCCAGTTCGAGTTCCGGCTGCTCCACTTCCGATCCAGCTCTCTGCTATGGCCTGGGAAAGCAGAAGAAGATGGCCCAAGTCCTTGGGCCCCTGCACCCATGTGGGAGACCTGGAAGAAACTCTTGGCTCCTGGCTTTGGATGGGTCCAGTTCCGGCCGTTGTGGCCACCTGGGGAGTGAACCAATATATGGAAGACTTCTCTCTCTCTGCCTCTCTGTAACCCTGCCTTTCAAATAAATAAATCACTCTTTAAAAAAGAAAAAAAGTAATCCTTACTTATATATGTGGAGGTGAGGCTTTACACATCAAGCTTCTCTTACCTGGTCTCTTAAGTGGAGACCCCCAGTCCCATAGATGGTTCTTCACGTGAGGAAACGGGCCGCTCCAGACTGTCTCTGGGCTTGGTAGATGCCTTGAAGAGGTAAGAGGGATGGGCAGAGAATGGCCAGACACAGCACACTGAGGTCTCCCCAGGTTGCTGCCCTTGACCTAAGCCCCTCTGTGATGTTACTCCTGTGTCCTGCCCACCTACTGCCCTCTCAACAGAGGTGCACAGGGACAGGACTGACAGGCAACCTGTGCATGCCTCCTAACTGGGAGTGATTCCTTAGCCTTCTTCCTAAAGCCCAATGCTGCTACCGTGTTTCCGTATTTATGCATTTGAGGGGTGGGGAGCACTCTTCCAGCCACAGGTTCATTTCTCAAATGCCCACAACAGCCAGAGCTGGGCCAGGCTGAAGCCAGGAGCCAGGACCTGCATCTGGGTCTCCTACCTGAGTGGCAGGAACTCAAGTACTTGAGCCATCGTCTGCTGCCTCCCAGGTGTGCTAGCAGGAAGAGGAAGCTGGATCAGAAGTGGAGGGGAGGTGGGACTCCATCCCCGGCACTCCGATATGGAATGCAGGCACCCCAAGTGGTGGGTTTACCCATTGTGCCATAATGTCAACTCCCGGTGTGGCCTTTTCTCTTATTTTGAGAGGTTCATCTTCCCTTACTCCTACCCCCCCCCCATTTTAATTTTTGGATTCTCAAGCAGGTGCACCTTTCTGTATTTTACCATCTGATTCCAACTTCCCTGGAGGACTTAAGAGGAAGACAGAGTGGGAGAGGAGACAACTAATACTGAAAAGCCTGACATGCCCCAGGTTCCTCGTCAGCATCGCACACAAAGTGCCTCCTGCCACCATGTGCTCTGGGCATGGGCTCTGGGCTGTGCTGGGAGTCAGGGTTCTCTAAGCCTCCTGAGGACACGGACCAGACCCAAAGGGTAGGGAAGGGGCAGGCGCTTACCTCCATCTCCAGCGTTTCTCTTTGGGGGCCTCCACTCATGCTCTCTTGGCAACCATTGTTTTCCTAAAGGGAGCAAGCCCTTTCACACTGCTATGTGGAGCCACCGCTGGGCAGGTGGAGAAGAGAGGTGGCCCTTGCAGAATGAAGTCTGATCACAAGCAGTTTCTATTGTCTGTCTGTTTTTTTTTTTATTCTGATTAAATATTTAAACACTGAGGGAGCTTACCTAGAAACCTAAACAGTTGGAACCGGCTGCCATCCTGGTAGGAGCAGTGACAGCCCCCAGGGGACTTCACCCATTCACTCTGGAGAGTCGGGTCTCCTCAGACTTGCGGGCTGTCTGCTGGCACTCGTTCTTATATTCAGCACCTGTTTGGCACAGGGCACTAAAAAGAGGGGGCACCTCTTCAATCCTGGGTTGAAGAGCTGTGGCCTTAAGTAGGAAAACCAGCAGAAGTGGGCAGACAAGTGAATAATAAGGAGTAGAAGTCAAATGAGGAGGTAAGGGATGTGGATTCCTTACGTGATGTGGTTCTGGGGACTTACAAGGATCAGAGAGAAGAAGAGAAGTGGCTGAAACAGACAGATATGAGGAGGGGACACTCACTGGACATGCAGACTTGAAAAAGTTCATGGAAAAGGGAATTGAAGATTGATGCAACAAAAAATTTAAGGTTTAATTATTATTTATTTGAAAGCCAGAGCAAAAGAGGGGAGGGGGAGAGGGAGAAGGAGAAGGATCTTCCATCTGTGGGCCACAATAGCCAAGGCTGGGCCAGGCCAAAGGCAGGAGCCAGGAATGCCTTCTGGGTCTCCCACCTGGGTGGCAGGGGCCCAAGGACTTGAGCTTTGATCCCTTGTCTTCCCAGGTGGACTAGCAGGGAGCTGGGTTGGAAGCTGAGTAGAGCTGGGACTCAAACCAGCACTCTGATATGGGATGCTGATACCACAAGCAGTAGCCTAACCTGCTGCACCACAGCTCTGGCCTCCATGGCGGGGCGGGGGACCTAGGTCCCTGCATGGTTTGCTCCTCGTATTAATCAGGGTGCCCCAGGCAAGAGGGCGAGTGTATGACTGGAAAGGCGATCCTGGCACCTGTCTGTGATCTCCCCCGAGTGCTGAGCCAACTTTCTGACCGAAGCCTGCTCCCAGGTCTCACCAGCAGCTGCCCTCATGCTGCCCACATGGACACACACAGGTGCACACAGACACACGGACTGTCTCAGAGTCCAGAGGCTGCAAGTCCAGGATCAAGGTGTCTGAGCGTTGCTTTCCTTCGGGGGGCCCCCAAATGCCCTTCTTCCCGTATCGAAACGTAATCTCCCTCTTTCTATGTGTGTCTTCTTCCTGGAAGCTGCACAGAGAGCAGCAAAAACTAAACTCAAGGTGCTGTCTTTTTTCACAATCCACGATAGGTTTCAAAAAGCAACTCACTGGGTCTCAACAAGTGCATCTCTGTATACAGCTAAGTCCTGTATAATACAAGTTGTGTAACCGAAGTACTGGAGAGCAGAGTCTGCGTGTGGAGCCCTGTGTATGGCCTTCGGGGGAGGGAACAGAGGGGGGCTGCTGGTAGGGTCTGCATCCTCATTCCTTAGTGTTAGAGGGGTCAGCTTGGTGTGGGCGAAGCTCAAACGCGGGCAGACACTAGGAGCACCATTCTAGTCCTAGCTCTGCTGTTAGCAGAGACACACAGGGACCGTGCCCTCTAGTCCATGTCCACTGGTTCACTCCCCAAATGCCTGCAACAGCCACGGCTGGGCCAGGCTGAAGCTAGGAGCTGGGAACCCAACCCACATCTCCCAAGTGGGTGGCAGGGACCCAGCTACTTGAACCATTCTTGCTGTCTCTCAGGGTGCGTATTAGCAGGAAGCTGGAATGGAAGTGCAGCTAAGCCTTGAACCCAGACTCTGAAATGAGACAGGGCTGTCCCAACTACTGTGCCAAATGCCCTTGACTAATTAACCCAAGTCTCAGCTTCTCCATCCGAAAAATGGTGACAGTAGCACCTACTGTACAGGGTGCATGGGGTTCACAGACTGAATTCCTCATGCCCGGTGGTCCTGTCTTATTCACAGTAGTATGCTGTTCCTACTTGTTCACATATGGCCCCTTCCCACCAGGGAAGAGAAAAAAGCTGATCGGCATTGACCCTCTGATGTGTCAGCCCCTGTCCTGGACACACTGCCTAAGCTGGTGTCACTCGATTTCCACGGGGGAGTGGCAGGTGCCCTACAGAGCTCTGACACCGTGCTGGAGGCTTTCCTCCCAGTTAGGGTCAATTCCAAGCAGCCCAGCCGGCCAAGGCCACCAGCAGGCTGAGGAACCCCTGCCCGGACGCTGGCCGCTCGGCTGGCTGCGGCAGCAGGAGGCACGGGCTTCCCTCTTGGCCTGTCAGCTCCCACGCTGCTCCTTGGGAGTCTACAGCTGCTGGAGCGGCCCAACTGGAATGGGAAGAAACTGTTCCTGAAGCCCTGGTGTGGTGGCTCTGCCCCTCCCACCCCCATGGGCAGGGCTGGCAGCACCGTGGGAACGGGAACCTCCCACTGGCTGGCGCCCCACGGGACAAGGGCCTAGCCCTTTGGGAACCACACCCAGGTAAGCCAGAGCTTAGGGCTGAGCGTGCAGCAACCCCGGACCTTGGTGCGGCTGAGTCAGCACAGAAGGGATTCCAAGACCGGAGAGGAAGAGGGAATGCGGGGGAGGAAGAGGTCTTTGCTCTCCACGGAGCCCGCTCAGGCAGGACTCAGGCCCAGCTTCCATGGACCAAAGCCCTGAGACCCCTGCAGTGACACCAGGACCAGTGGGCTGGTCCTCCAGGCTGGCATGGGCCGCCAGGAAGCACAGGGGTGCACGCGAGGGGACGGGACCGGTGTGGCCCATGTAGCAGCACAGGAGGGCGGGCAGCCTGGGAGGATGGGCTTGTCCAGTGGTGGGGAGCACTCAAACGCCCCACCTGAGGTCTGCTGTGAGCTCCCCGCGCCCGCCCCGCAGTCCTTCGGACAACCAGATTCTCTCCATCCCCGTCCCCGGAGCGCCCGGGGCAGGATCCTGTGGGAGAGGCAAGGGCAGAAGGCAGGGCGGGGACCCCGGTGGGAAAGTCGAATACCACGCGCAGGTGCAGCGCTAGCCGACACGAAGACACCAGGGGCCCGATCCCACGGGCTTTGGGGTCTTCTCGGCGGACATCTGGCCCCACACATCCCAGAGCGGAGGCCCGCGCCAGGAGGGCGGGTGGCCGGGCACGCGAGCCGGGAGTGGTCAGCGCCGCGGGGGGGCGCACGGGCCGCGCAGGTCGTGCCAGCGGGGGCGGGAGCCGGCCGCACACGTGCGCTACGTGCCGCGCGGCCACCGCCCCCTCCCGGCGTGGGGAGCCGCCCCCTCCTGCGGAGCCGAGTCCGGGCGGCGGGGAACGGCGCTCCCCGGCCTGGGTCTCCGAGGCTGAGGCCCGCAGGAGCGCGGGGGGCGGCTCTTCCCTGCCGCGGGGTCTGGGAGCGCAGGCCGGACTTGGGGTTCAGCGGGCAGGGGGCTGACGGCGACCCAACCCTCGGCTGGGTCGGAGGGATCCACAGCGGCTTAGGGGGCGGCTGGGGAGCGGGCCCCCCGCGCGGGGGCGGAGTGCGCCCCCGCGGAAGGAGGGGGTTCCTGGAGACGTGGCACTCGCAGCGGCCTCGGATCCCCTCCGGCCGCCCGCGCCGCAGCCAGCGCTTCCTCGGGAGCCGGACCTGGCCGCGCCTGGGCCCCGCACCCAGCCTTCCGGGAGCCCCGGCCCAGTACCCCCAGGCCTGGGTGGCCCGGGTCCGGCCCCTGGGGCGTCCGGCCGGCCCCAGACCAGACAATGCGGCCCAGGCCCCGCCCCCGGGGGGCTGATGCGGCCGGGCTGTAGCCAATCAGCGCCTGCGGCTGGGCTCTTTAAAAAAAGAAGCGCCGGCTTCCGTGCGGCTGTCAGCTGGCACGGATCCCTCCGCGCATGTAAACACGCATCACAGAGGGCACGGCGGCGCCGGGGGAGGGGCGTGCGGGGCGGGGGTCGCTGCCGGGGGCCGTGCGGGCAGCGGAGGCGGCGGCGCTGGGCGGCCTCGCGGCCGGGCGGGCGCGTGCTCGGATTGCAGCCGCAGTTCGTGTGTCCAGAGTTTCTCTCCAAGTTCGGGTTACCTGGCTGTCGTGGGATGCCCGCGTTAGGGGTGGACGTGAACACGGCCAAGAGCCACAATGGTTTTTCTCCCGCACGCTTTATCAAGAAACGTTTCCAGGATGCCGAGACGGCTGTGT